ACTTTTAGAGGCAAAGAGGCTGCAACCTCAAATGCCGTAATTAGATACTTCCCCATGAAATATTTTTGGTTGAAATGAAGCTGCCAACCAAATTCAGCATAGCTCAGATTGCACTGCTAAAAATTAGACAGGAGAGAACCAAGGGCAAATGCACTGAAAAACACCAAGCCCTTTGGGAAAGAAGTAGGGCACGCCCATCAGCCTTCTTCACCTATGTGGTATACGGGGAAAACTGTCTCGTTCTTCCAGCCACCCTCCCAGACATCTCCCCCTTCTTGCCAAGCGTGCACAGCACGTTATGGTTCATTAACAGGAGGTAACATTGAGTAATTTAGCTGCTCTGCGGGAACCGAGTGCGTGCTCTCATGCCCAAGTAGGTGCAGAGTTTGCCTAGAGCACTTGTCATTACGGAGTAACTTACTTGAAATAAGTTTCCAGGTAACGTCATACAAAAGCAGCTAGCGTGGACTGGTTACTGCCTCATAACACATCCTTTCTCACTTCACCGCAAATTGGGGTAACCGGGTCCCGAGTTACTGCCACTTTGCTTCCAATAGAACATCTGTGCTCTACCAAAGGAATATTAAGCACTCATTAGCAGAAACTGGTAAAAAGGGGGCCTCTTATTATACAGGAATTACAAGAACTTAACATTCAGGACAGATAACCAATTTATATACTGCTCTAACTAATCGAAAACCACTAACGCATTACAAGCCCACGCTTACTGTAACAATTCAACTGGTTTGTAAGGCCTATTGGCACAAGAACCACACGTATAATTCCCACTCCGCATGTTTTGGGACTAAGCTTATTAAAAGGGAATCATCTCATGTGGTCTTCCTCTCTCTACACTCTCCTGTGTGTCAGTCAAGCACTGCCGGATAAAAATCACCTTGTACTCCACAGCTTGCGTAATGCTATTTCAGTATTACACAGACCAGGGGAATTATTACTTTATCAATTAGTAGCGTATTAACACGTATTCAAACTGCAAGATTACACCTGAACAAATGCAGCTGAAAGTTTGCTACCTTCATAAGCTACTACTATTCTTTTTTTTACTCACCTCACTTCTGGACATTCAGATTTACAGTATTCCTAGAGCATTCAAATTTTCAAAGCATAGATTTCTGCAGGGATGTTTATTATTCCACACTTTTATTTGAAAGTACACTCAGCAGTCTGAGAGCTTATGATTTAAGTTCACCTGTGTATTTATGCTTAAGCAGCACTTTTAAAAAAAGCCGCCCATCTTCAAAAGGGCAGGTCTACCTTTTTCTGTCATGGATAGTAAAGTCTTTGAAATAAGCCAAGAAAAAAAATAGACAGGAGACCAAGAAACCTATGCAAACGATATCACAAGCCTTGCTTTTTGACACTAACAGGTAACTTACCTTCACCCTGTTCCTTTTGGGTCACAAACAGCACAAAACTATTATCTCGTAATTTTCCTTGTTCATGTAATTCATTAGTAATAAAGACACTCTTTGCTTACACACAGGCACAAAACATTATTTGCAGGGCAAAAAAACATTCCTGTAAAACAATATCCTACCTTCTGCTAAAATTCAGGGCGTTAATCAGCCGCTTGTGATCCATTTGAGATGCACGTAAGTTACGATCCAGGTCCTCAAAAACAGAGCTCAGCCCCACGGATTGATCTTCCCGTTCGTGCAAGCATGCATCCTCAGCACAAACTCCAAGTAGAAAAAGGTTACAGCGTAAGTGATGTATTTGCAGAGGATGCTGTACTTCAGCTAATGAAGCTAAACGTACTGCAGATCAGGAGCTTATGCAAGATGATTAAGTTTTTTTCATTAGGAAAAAACATCTAGCTAAGACTCATCCTCAGCCTTTTGCTGCAGACTAAGTTGCTATGCCATTCTGTGTTGGCATAGACTAGACTTGCCCATACACAACCATCAGCAATCAGTACAATCAGTTACTTCAGGCACAGGGCCAAGGGGAAAAAACAACGCATTTGAAACGCCTGAATGAACCATTTCCTCCCGATTACCTACCCTCACTTATCTTCTGAAACTTGCCTCATGCTCCAGACCAGAAATTAATATACCTCTGTATTGGGGAGCTAAAAAAGCTTTACTCTACAACTTGAACTTCCGCAAAATCTTACTGCGTCCAACTCTGGAGCCCTCAACACAAGAAGGACATGGAAGTGTTGGAGCGGGTCCAGAGGAGGGCCACAAAAATGATCCGGGGGCTGGAGCACCTCTCCTATGAGGACAGGCTGAGGGAGTTGGGCTTGTTCAGCCTGGAGAAGAGAAGGCTGCGGGGAGACCTGATTGCGGCCTTTCAGTACCTAAAGGGGGCCTACAGGAAAGATGGGGAAAATCTTTTTAGTAGGGCCAGCAGTGACAAGACAAGGGGTAATGGTTTTAAACTAAACCAGGGTAGGTTCAGGCTAGAGGTAAGGAAGAAATTCTTTACAATGAGGGTGGTGAAATACTGGAACAGGTTGCCCAGAGAGGTGGTGGAGGCCCCATCCCTGGAAACATTCAAGGCCAGGTTGGACGGGGCTCTGAGCAACCTGATCTAGTTAGCGGTGTCCCTGCTCCTGCAGGGGGGTTGGACTAGATGCCCTCTAGGGGTCCCTTCCAACCCAAAACATTCTATGAAAACAGAAGAAGGAAGAGAAAAATAAAAAGACATTCTCCATTCTAAAGACACTTACCAATAACTATGGTTGCCAGCCCCCTCATCGCCAGTTCCTGAGGTAGGAAGATCTGGAGCAAATGGTATGTTTAAGGCAGTGAACATCACTGAACACATTTGACAATATTTTTGCCAGTCACATCAACTCTTCACTTAGAAAAGCAACACATTTAATTTGCATCTTTCTGCTAGGCATATGAGCACTGCCCATAGTAAAAAAAAAGTGTTTAGATGCTGTTCAAGTGCACTGGCGTTGCTTTTTCCACATACCACCTAGGCAATCTACTGAGATCAGCGTGATGCCTTCCTTAACCCCTAAGAGAATTTTCTCAAACTCTAAGCAAAGCACCCCACATAATCAAAAAATTCATGTCAGGCATGCTGACTGACAGCAGCCAAATATGTGAGGTGGGAGGTACAAGAATCTCTGAAAAATGAGCCCTGCCTCCAATAATAGCAATTATTTCAAGCCCCTAACATAAACCACCCTTCCAGATTTGGATAAGCTCATCCCTTTTGTAAATAGCCAGTCCTTTTTGGAACTATCTTACATTTTAGGGTGCAGTTTTAATAACATATGTCAGCAGCAACGTCCAAAAAAAAAAAAAAAAAAAAACAAAAAACCCACCCAGAGAAACTCTTTTCCTAACACCTCTACAGAAGGGAACAAGAATGCCACCTGCTGGAAACAATGTGGAAAAGATGGGAAAGAAATTCTACAGCAAAGCCTATTTTTAAAGAGCCAGTTCAAAGATGCATGGATATTTATGCTGGTCTCCAATTTACATTTAAGAACTACGCTAGAGAAAAACAAGGTAAGCAAAGAAGCCACAGCAGTTGCCACAGACTGAATCAAACCAGGCAGAAAGGTAAGATTACGTTTCAAGCACACTCAAGACTGGCTGCTGCTGCAAAAAAAGATCGGTGTTTTGGTTTTATTCTGTTTGACCCACACCAACAAACCCGAAAGAACAGAAAGCTAACTGCAAAAAACGGAACCATTGCCAAACTGAGCCTTCTCATGTGTTTAAGAGCTCAAACCCTAACAAGAGATCAACTCCTTTATTGGAAATCTACTATTTATGTCAAACTGTGCTATTGCTTTCAATTAGATTATTCAATTAGATTATTATTTTCCAGATTTTCTGCCAAATTTAAGTGGTATACACAGCTATCAGGAGTCAGAGGAACAGTTAAGCAGGTAGATAACCAAAGGTGACCCCCACAGCCTTTTTTTTTTTCCTCGCCCCCGTACATTGGCAGAGAATATGGGGAGCCTCCATTCAGCCACTAGAAAAATCAGTCTTCTAGCCAGGTCTACAGAGCTTAGTGCACCTCCAAGATGACTACCCTAGCACAGGACCACAGCCCTGCAGCTCCTAGCTACTCACTGCTCCCACTAAGTACATGCTCTTCATCTCCAGACGCATGAAATCCACATAAGGCATCAGTCAGCATTTTTAGGCCCCCCCAAAAAAACCCCCTCTCCTCAGGAAGCATAGCATGGGAGTCTTCCTCTGAGAGTCACTTGTATGGAAAAAGAAACCTGCTCCTGCTTGTTGTGAAGCTGCTCCTAGTCCCCCCTATCCATCCCCTTATCCCAAACAGTTATTCACAAGCCCATCAAGAAGAACCTCTATGACAGAAAAATCAAAAATGAAGTGACACTTAAACTCTGTAGGTTCATTCAAATTTCATCCCAAAACATTTTTAACAGAATTTTTTCCAGGATAGTGCAAACAAGCCACTAAGGGACTGGATTCTCTGAGGGGCAGCGTATCAGTTACACACAGATGAAATAGCATGATTTGAAAGATAAGGTACATGATCACTCCTCCCACAGAATACATCCAGTTTTTCCTTAGAAAAACTTCACCTATTACAATCTGTCACAAAGACTAACCTGCACTCAGAGGCTCAAAGTAGCAGAGCACTAATCCTCTGTACACCCCTCCTGTATATGCAGATTAAATGAAAATGAAGCGAGATATCACAAGCATCACAGAGTCGTTACAGCCACCAACTCAAAAGGAACACCATGTCTGAACCTGCAGAAAAATGGAACGATAAATACAAACTGGTTTCCTTCATTAGCGAGATACAGAGCAGCTTTCCTTAAGTAACTGCATCGGTTGCTCTGTGGGGGACTGAATCAAGACAACAGCAGCACTGAACATTCTGCAATTTCAAGAGAGTAAGAAGCCCAGCGTTATGGATATAACACGTGCTGGCCTTTCAGCTGCAACTGTGGGAACGGGATGCCAATACTTCAGAAGTTACAGAAACGCTTTTATTAAAGTAAAAACTATTATATGCAAAGAAAAACACAAAACTAGGCCGCTTTCAGCTACCAACAAAAGGAGTTGAGAGTGTCTTCAGTCTCAACAACAGTATCCTGTTTGTGACAATGTTTCCCATTACACAGAATTTACAGGTGAAATTCACAAGTTCGATTTATTATTTCTTTTCAAAAAGTATGGTTTGAATGACACCATTTGCTTTCCAAGCTTGATCATCAGATCCACAAGGAAGGACATCAGGTACTAACAGGTTCTTGGACATGTTTTTCTTCATCATCTTCTGCCTTTTTTTCTTCTTCCTCTTTCTCCACCTGAGGCAGAATTCCATCAAGGTTCAATAGCAAGCCTTCACTGGTTGAAGATCTAATAACCAACTTCTGCACAAGAGGACCTAGAAAACAAAGAACACCGCCCATTCGGTCACTCTACCACTTGTCACATCTCCAGGATGATTTATCTCAGCAGTAACCCACGCTGTGTCAAGCACACAACCAGAATCAGCACTGTACATGTAGACACATCCCTTCAGTACAGAGAAGTTCAACATCCACCCTGGCAGGCTGGGTTCAAAATGCAATCTGGTACTGCAAAAGGTACTAACTTGATGGCTACCTCATTCCTTCAGTACCTCACCGGGAGCTGGCGTCACTGGTGCCCCTGGGCCTTCAAACATACAAGTAAAGCTTCACACACTCCTCCAAAAAATGAAATACAGGTGGACTCACTTTGGGAAGTGGTCCTGATTGGCAAGATACGGGTGGGCAGTTCGTTGATCACCCAAATATTCATACGTGACTGAGAACACAAAAGAAACCATTCCTAATGCTGAGGGAACAACTACAAAACCAGTCAGATTGCTTTATGGAAGATTAACTAGATCTACACTATACTCTGAGAACGTTTGCCTGGTGGTATTTTTAGTCTTGCATTAGATCAGGTGACTCACCGAGGAATGCCATTTTAGTGATAACTACATAGCTGCAGGAAGACACATGGGAAGTTTGAAAGGAACTAAAGAAAAGTTACCTGTAACTAGTTGGTCTAAGTGATTGACAGTTAGCAAGCCTATCTAGACTCCATTGTTGTGAAGATGTTTTAATTATCAAGTCTGCTTCCTATACACAGTAAATATTTTTCATTCAAGACAGTAAGAGACCCACCACCACAATCAAGCTTGATACCGCAAAATCAGTAGAAATGCTACTAAGACCAGAAAAGCTTACCCTTAGTTAAGTAGGCTGGTGTAGGTCACACATAAACTCATTAAGGGCAGAAATGCCACCACTTCCTGCTTCTATTTACTTGTATTTCAAGTCAACAAACCCCTTACACTTTTCATTTGGGTTGAAATGCTTCTGAAGGCATGCGTACTTGGCTTTTTGTGGTCTGCTCCCTGTACAGCAGTTACTATTACAGTATCATCGGTAGAGATGCAAGATGATTCTTTTTGCAGATATTAAGCCAATATTAATAGAAAAAGTTGTTTTCTTAGCTTAAACAGAACTACTCTTCCACAAAATTAGGTTCATAAATCACCATCTCCACTCCAGCTAAGCAGATGATGTTGGTTTAAAGTTTACTTCATTATGACAAAGAGCAGAGAGCGTATTAATTGTTCACATTCTTCGCTCAGAACAGCAAGCAGAACCCACAGGAACAACATGCAGAATTCACACCTTTACTCCCTTTTAACCTGATCCTTTTGCTAAGGAATTGAAAAAGAAAAAAGGATTAACAGTTTTTCCCTTGGAGCAGCAGAAATTTTAAAAATAACTTGATAATAGAAAAAAAAAAAATGGTGGCATATCTTCCAACAGGGTAGCTAATCAGACTAGATGATAACTGAAGCATAGGTGTTAACTAAGGCAACTGCAAGTGGATTCCAGGTTCAGATTCTTTGCGTTGAGCCACAACAGGGTCACCTCAGTAGGGTAAAACCAATGCACACAAACGCTGAAGACCTCCACGTCTCATAAGGATTTCCTTGTACTGCTTTAATCTATTTAAGCATCAAGCATGCAAACCTGATTTTGTACAACACCTCACTCCTTTCTTCACACAGACACTTACGCAGTGCAATTAGAGGTCACATCAATAAGAGCAGATGCTATTCATGCCCTAACAGGCTGTCAAGTTCTTAAGTCCTGATTTACCAAGCCGCCTAACAGCTCCCTCCTGTCCCAAGGCAGACAAAGCAGCAAGGTCCTTTAATAACAACCTGGTAAAGAACACTTATTTATTTTGTTTGCTGTAACTTCAACTACCACATTAGAAGAACAGCTACTTACCATAAGTCGATGGCTTGAATGTGCAGATATCATTGATAACTGTTTTTAGATTGGCAATTATCTGCTCAGCAGGCATATCCAGCTGAAAAAAACATAATGCAGAGTTAGCCGTGACGATACTGAAAGCCTGATTAATAAATCTGAAAGCACCAGGTATATGTTTATTCTACATTTGGATAGATTTTGATTCTCTGTGTTCCCTGTTAAGGAGTTACAAATCCCAGTAATGGCCTTATCCAAATGGCTCAGAGAAAAACTATTTTATACATGGTTATACACTCATCATTATTCTCCGTATTTCTACTCATGACATTAAATTCCCATGGCTCTGTAACAACGTGTAGCCTTAAAGAGGTAGAGTCTTAAAAAACAGTATATGTACAAGTGTTTTGGCAAAAATCATTAAAAGTATTTGAGGAAAGAAGCTTCAAGAAGTTGCTGTCAAAGACCACAAAACAGATTAACTCAAAAACCACAAGCATCTAAAATTGAAGGCATTAAGAACTTGAACAGAACCAAATGAATAATTTAAAAAATTATAAAGTTTCTTCCCCTTTTCTTTCCCATTTGAAGATATTACGTGGAATTTCTACTTTTTACATAAACTACATGGAAGCATTGAGCTCTAAACATACACCCGTTCTGTATCTACCCTTTTTACACATCACTGTTCCTGTCTGTGGCATTTTCGGCCTTCCAACAAAAACTGTGGACTGATGGTCCTCGTTCTGCCCAAAGTCCTCACCTAACGGAGCACCTAAGCAGACACATACATGATCCTCACTGGATCAATCACAGATGCTTGGCAGTGAACCAACACTGCTGCCAAAAAATTACCACCTCCATCTTCCCTCATATACCAATAGCCTTAAACCACGACTGCTATTCATCTCATTTGGACTCTCTTCAGGAATGTACGATCAAGAGACCAGCAAACCTCAACGCCCTCAGCTTCAAGCCAGGACTCCATCTCTCAGCTTCTGGAGAGCCTAACATGCATTTCTTAGACTTAACATTTGGCTGCTGCAATGCCTTGCTACACTTCATTTAATTTGCTATCTGGTCTCACTCATATCATCCATGTATCTTTATCCAGATGAAAAATCAGGTTCTTTTTCTAGAGGTTTCAGCTATAGAGTTAAGAAAAAAAAAAAAAAAGCACTTATTGTCACAGAATTAATTCCATTTCAGGCATCACTGGGGTCTCCTCTTCCTCTCCACCACCTCCCAGTGTAACATGAGCAGATTTTATTAACATCTCACTTGTCTGTCAATGTATGCATTACTTTGCAATAGAAATACCGTTATACTTGACTACTCTCCTCCCAGATCTGGTCCATTAATCTCTCTTTACACTCTTCTGTCAGACTTAATATCCAAATGCAGTTCCTCTGTTACACAGGCCAGAACAAATTTGTCTTTATCGTTGCTACACTGATTGCAACGTGCTTAATCATTCATAAATTAACAGATGTAAAAATCTGCTTGTTAATACTGAGCATCTTGCTCTGCTGACACACTCACCATGCTGTACCAAATTCAAAATAAAGGAATACTTTGAATCATGTAAACAACACAATTCACTGGTAATAACCATTAGAAACTGTATTTCAAATGAAGGTTCATATAGCGTTTGCTTCCCAACCTTACACTAAGTTCATGTCTTAAGCGAACCTTCAGTTGTACAATTTCGGTGAGCTACTGGGCAGTCATCATCCGTTACAAAGTGTAGAGGCATTCCTAAGAGACAGAATTTGCAAGTTGCTCTATACAAGTTGTAACTTCTTCTGAAGACTTGCAAGTGCAACACAGGATGAGACGAGACCCTTCTCAAAATATGAAGGCATCAGTTAATATTCTGTATCAGTTAAGACAGGAAAATAGGACAGAGAGACTTGCATTCAGTCAGACAACACAACACATCCCACGAGATCACGTACCATAGTTAACTTGAGATGCCGACAGCTCCATAATGAAAACAGGTAATGCTCAGAGGGTTCCAAGTATTTAAAAAATAGCTTCCACCAAAAAAAAAAAATTTTTTAGCTTCCAACTAACTATTCCACAGGAAATCCTCGTGAAACACAGTTACTGTGTATTGACACTTGCATATTTAGTTTAATTCGAACTTTCGCCAAACTGACAGGAGTACTGTGGTCCAGATCTTCAAGGCTATCCATCCTACTCTGTTCAGACCGATTGCAGCGAGAACTAAATATCTAAGCCCTGAGCCTTCCTGAAAAACACCCATGCCTGCAGAGGGAGCAACTACAAATCAATTTCTAGTCCACTTTGCATAAATACAACCCAGCCACAAAGCACCCTAAAGAATGACAGTATACACTAAAAACAGAACACAGAAATGAATTATTACCTATCTTACTGTTTAAAGTTCAGAACGCTTCTCTCCAGAGCAGCACAAGGTGCTGTAAAAAAGTTCAGGGCGGTTATTTGTTTCTTTTTTTTTTTTAAGTAAGAAACATACTTGTCTTTATAGGGGCCTCCCACTAACTCTGCTGCCTAGTGGGAAATTGCTTATTAATATTCAGCATCGCACAAGTTTCACTGAAACAAATCATGCTTCAAACTTGATTCACCACCACTCAATGCTTCTGATCTTCTAGGGGATTTTTAGATCTTTAGATGACTGCAACTGGATACACAGAAGAGTCACACAGCTATTTAGCCAGCAAATAGCTGGCTAAATATGCAAGTGAAGAACAATAAGCTGCCCTGCTATTAACACACAAGCTTAAACCGCAGAACTACTTCTTGAAACTGTATTTAGAGAATTGTATCAAGAGATCACTCAGAGCACTGAAACCGTACTGCAGATTTAACTACCAGGCAGGTAAAATACAACACACGTGGAGGGGATGGCAGTCACGGCAGAGCAGAAACGCTTGATAGAAGATAATAAATGATTAACATAAAATTAACACTCAGCAAAAGAAGATTATTGCCAGCTATTTATCTCAATGCTTTAAGAGTCAGAGAGGGCAGGAAAATAAAACTAGGAACTAGCCAGTACAAAAACCCACAACCAGACACAGCAAAGCTGTCTACACAGTAGCAACAGTATGGAGCGCGTGCACCGTGTGGGATGAAGTAGGTTATGCAGAGAAAGGAACCCAGCATTTCAGACATTGAACTTCAAGAGCACGAACAACCTCCCTCCGAAAAGAGCAAGGCAGCAAAGTCCTGCAGATATAAAGGTTACAAAAAATGAGGCGAACTCATCGTCCACACCACAACAGGCACCAAAAAAGAATCCTACTCCTGGGTGCAGGGGAGAGGTGTGATTTGAGACATGCACTATTACCATGCAAGACACTTAGCTTGGGAACCGGCAAATAAAATAAGGCTTAAATAAAATTAAGTCAAATCCAGTACATATCATTTAAACATCAACAAAGAATGATTGAGCAACAGAAAAGTAATGGAATCAAAATAGCGCTAATAGAGAAAGGTTTTTTGATGGGAATTTCTATCAATTTCTTCAGTTTATGGTCTGCTTTATAATGGTTTCATTACCTAGACAAAAGAAAAAAAAAAAAACCAAACCAAACCACAACCACAAGAAACAACAGAACAAAAACCCAAAGCTGACAGCTCTCAAGTTCAGGTCACGCATTAGCTAACATATATACAAACGTACCTGTCCACTGCAATCTGCAACTGGCTTCTCTATCATACAAATCAAAAAGTGACTTCTGATACGTACTACACAAAAATCACAAGCCATGCTAAGGCAAACTAACCAAGAATGGCACTTCCATCGCTTAATACCTTATTATTTTCCATAGAAGAACCATTTCACAGGCAGCTCTCTGCACAGATACACTGGAAATTCCTTCCTGGTATCACATTTGGAGTCTGATTTTTTTAAAGACAGCTCCAACTTGGGAAAAAGAAAATTTTGTAGTCATAAACAGCACCCTGTCTGGACCCAAGACTTCAGTCAAAACCCTCAAAAAAATTGCTGCAGATGGCTTGATTCTGAAGGAGATATCCTAAGTGTCCTCATTTGCCTCTCTTCTACTTTAAGCTCTATGTCTTAAAACAAAATTTTACTTCTCAGTTTCAAAACTGCAGATCTACCAATTAAACTTAACTGCTGCCAACTTCTGGCCTTTTCAAAAACATCTCCATTACTGCTAAGAAAATGCCACCGAGGCTGCCGACTGACGTGTGAGTGCAGCATTACACCAAGCCACCGGCCACGACTGAACTAACCGGCAACATGAGACAGCAGCACTAAAAGGAAAAAAGCTCTTTGAGAAACCCCAGCTTGGCAGACTCCCAGAAACAGCTACACGACTGTTTGGGATACAGCAATAGAACTTCACGCTTCTGTGTAATTCATAAATTATTCTTTTCTCACTGACAAGATTTAAAAAGCCCTTGATTTAGTGGTGAGCAGATACTCATAACCACTCAAGGCTCCCACAGCCTTGCCCGCACTCCATTTCACAGAATCACAGAATCGCAAGGGTTGGAAGGGACCTCAGGAGATCACCCAGTCCAACCCCCCTGCTAAAGCAGGCTCACCTAGAGCATGCTACACAGGACTTCATCCAGGCGGGCTTTGAATATCTCCAGAGAAGGAGACTCCACAACCTCCCTGGGCAGCCTGTTCCAGTGCTCTGCCACCCTCAGAGTGAAGAAGTTCTTCCTCATATTCAACTGAAACCTCTTATGTTTCAGTTTGCATCCATTGCCCCTAGTCCTGTCGCTGGACACCACTGCAAACAGACTGCTTCCGTCCTCTTGACTTCCGCCCTTAAGATATTTGTATTCCTTCCAGCGCTGCTATGCAAACAGTAGGAAAACAAGGTCAGGTAAAAGGCAGGGGCGCGAGAGGGCGGAGACATTTTGCACAAGTCATAACCACCGAGTCTTCCCTCTCCACGCAACTTCATAGGCAAGTGTGACAGAGCACATCGCACTGTGCGCAGCCTTAGAGTCACCTCTGCCACGTTTGCTGGCATTGACTTAGCACAGGCAAACTCTCCCTGCAAGTAAACCCTCGTCATCCCGTTTCTGATCCAGGATTATGAGTTCATTCACAAGAACTTACCATTTACTTGTACAGAGTGACATCTCTGGCTGCACCAAGTCTTCCCAAGTGCCCTGAAACTGCAGGGCTGAGCTGCCTAGACACAGAGCCTAAGGAAATCTCAACACCAACATCTTACATCAGTAAGAGGACAAGGTTTTAACTTCAGAAACTCTAAAGCTGCAGGACGCTATATTAAGCAGAACCAACTGCACTGAATACTGTCAAGACATCAGAGTTCTTCCTTCACCTTTACTAAAAACCTGGTTTTAGTTCTTTACTATACAAGAAACTTCACAGTAAGTTTAATTTGCAGGTATTATTTAAGGCTAATCTACAGTATGAAATAATTAGGGTTCAAGTAGTCCAAAGCAAAAATTAAAGAATCCAGTCACAATACTTGAAACCAAGACTGATCTATGAACTCGAGGCGTTTCACACAGTCCGTTAAACTTACGAACGGCAAAAGATACTTCCTGTCTGTATCGAAGGGCAATACAAAGCACACTTTAGCAGAACACTCCCAAGAACATCAATTCCTGGTACCATACAGAGGAGCAAGCCCTTGAAATTCACATGCCCAACTCGGAGCAGCCAGCCAGAATTACTGAGCTTGCTTATCTCTAACACCACCAGACAGAGCTTCAGGGGTTAGAGATCTCATACACTTCCTTTCTGTACCACTTATCACTTAAAGGAAAACGAAAAGTCAGGCAGGATTACAAATAGACAAAACACAACATAAACAAAAAACCACAGTGTGGAGCAAGGAAAATAAATAAATAAATAAAAACCATTATGGAAAACATACTAAGGTTCTTAAAGAAAAAAAAAAAAAGAAGAGAGGCAAAAGATACTCTTACATAACCCAATTTATTACGGGACAGCAAAGCACAAATTAGGTCTGTATTTCAGGTGTAACACAAACAGTTCTTGCTTTTTGCTCCAGTCCAGGACTACAGTTATGAAAATTAAATGAGTCTTTGATTATTAGGTTAAAGCAAACACTTTTTGATCTACCTGTGCATATTGACCATGGACTTACAACCCATAGTTTGTTCACTAAAAAAAAATATAAAATAAGCTTTATTTTACTGACAGAAGAATGCTGGGGAAAGCAGGAGGAAAGGGAAGCCTACGTTAAGAGATCAACTCAGAAGAAAATTACTAGGAATAGTGCCTTTTTCATCCTGTTTTGTTCATTATTATGATTCCTTGCCAACCTAGTGGCAAATACAGATCCCATTCTTGGCATCCTTAACTTCAGCATCAGGTATCCTTGCTCTCAGCTCTACAAAGCCATCTTCTACGACCACACATTAACAACATACAGGGCTCACATGAGCTGAAGATGTCACACGACTGATTAAGAGCTCCATTTACTTCACAAGTCAGTTAAAGAACATGGTTAAAAAAATCTTAGGAAAACACAGACTAAAAGCACGCTTCCCCCCCTCTTTTAATACTAACTTCAGTTCTGGCCGGTAGAGAAAACTCAAGAACTCCATACACAACTTACTCTTGCTATTCTTGTCTTGATTACGCGCTCATCTTCTACCGTGTATTCAAGACAGTCTCTGAAGAATTGCAGCATTTTGGGAATATCATGTCCCAGGGAATCTAATTTTAAAAAAAAAAAAACAAAAAACAAAAACTAACAACAAAAGGGGCAAAAAAGTTTGCGTAGCTTATTAGCACGGCTAATGCTAGTTGATGATTAGTGATATTAGTAAAGAGAGAATTCAATCTTTCAATTAAGGCAGTTAAACTCCAATCAAAAATGCAGTTTCATGGACAAGACAACGTGTCCTCACACATACTACATAAATTGTTTCTATCTTCCCTCCTTCCTTATTAATCAGCAGACGTGAATAGCTAATAGAGTAGGAAAAAGAAAAACGGCTTCACTTAAAAAAACCAGACCTGTTTATGTAGGTATAGACTAAAAATTTATTTCCTAAAGCATTTAAAGCAGCTTGAAAGACCAAAACCTACTAAGTTCCATTTAGAACAAACCCCCGGTCTTCCTTGTAAACCAAGTCTACCACTATGCAATAGGAAGGTTACACACTACCTGGAACACGCTGGCCCCATCCAGCCATGCCCACAAGTCACAACAGCCGTTTCTTATTTCGGCTGCAAGGGCTCATTTGACAGATTTACACCATCACCCAATTGCTCCAAATAACAAGCGTTACTTCTCCCCCACATCCTTTGATGGCTCCAAGAGAAATGTGCTCTGGATAAGCTACAAACCAAGTAAATTTATAATGGTATAACAAAGCTTTAATTTTTTCCAAAAAGTATCTGGAGTATTCTCTGCTGCAATGTTTTACGCGGGTTAATAGATTTCTCTGTAATTTTTAGGAGTCTAAAACCACTGCCATCAGCTTGCAAAACATTAAAAGACAGCTGGGGCAGGGAATTAAGAGATACAGTTCAAGACTCAGTGCTTCACACAGCTGGCACAGGCTCTATGTTTGAAAAACAGCCCTTTTTTTTCTTTCATATTTGAAATAGACTCCTGACACATACCTAAAATAAAGTAAGCCAGCAAGGGAGGACAAAAGTATTGAGAGACTGACATTTGCTGCTGTGAAAACCCAAGCTGAAGAGGAAATGCCTTGAGCATTATGAATAAAGGAGAGACCACATGGGTAAGGGAGCAGACTGTACTAAGGAAAAGCATAAATCAATTTTTTGTTGAGTAGTAATGAACAGGCTGAAGGAGCAGTAGCAGTCATGAAGCTGGGATTCAAGCAATTGCACAACAGCTAGACAATGCAACTGTCTCAGTGAATGCGTTTTTTCAAGTTATTTCTGTTTTCCTACATAACTTCACATAACTATCATGGTTCGCCAGGACCAACAAGCATAGGGCCAACTAGTAGGCAAACTTACCTTGCCCCTCATCCCACATTTGCCTGTTGTAGGAGAAAAGGACAGTTCTAGATTCCTAAAACTACTCTCCTCTAAGGCAAAACAAGAGGTTCCGTCATGTACAGTCTAATACCCCCTGTAATTATACATGCTCCTCAAAAAAGCTCCAGTGTCTCTTCCAGAGTTAAATCTTGTTCAGTATTTGAGATATGTAAGAAAGAATTGCTTCTTACTTCTTTTTGTGCTTGGATATTTTCGTTTTAGTTTGTTCCTTAATGGTATTAGCTTAGGCATTATCGCAGGAACAGCTACATAGAAGTCCACTTTGATTTCATCTTCCAAAATCTGGAGAAAAAAAAAAAGCAAAAAAAGCAATTACTTAGGAATACAATAAATGACCTCAGTAGGCAGGCTGACCTACAAGCATGTCCAAGTACAGAAACACATCTCTCGCTCTCTATATTGGCTGCTAACTTCAAGCTAGAGTTTACTGGACATGAGGTTTCTTGCTCACTCTGCCTGAGTCACTGTTTAAGTTAGGATATTTACTTAAGTCTTAAAAAAAAATAAAATAAATACCCATTTGATTAATTCAACTCCTCCCACAACAGCAGCTCCATTCTCTCGAGCTATTTCAGCTTCTTCCTCATTCTGTTGAAAGAAAAAAAAAATATTTAGTAACATCTGTACTACCAATTAGTCTATATCAACAACACTGGATAGGTGATTTGTCTTGGACAACGGGGTATCAAAACAGGCTATTTACAGGTTAAGGGGAACAGAATGGTTTAAGGCAATGCAAGACCAAAAATATCTAATGCCAGTCATTAAATACAGGAGCAGCAACCCCACTTCATTCCAAGTCCCAACAAGAAGCAGTCAAGTCTTTAGTTGACTTCTGCTGAAGAAGGAGAAAAGCCCATCCCATCTGCTGAGCAGCTCTATCAAAAGCCCTTTCTCTCCCACCTCCACCTCCTGGAAACTACAACAAACCATGCACAGGACAGAGCCGACGTCTTACTCTGAGCTTAAACACAGAACATGCTACTAAAAACCACTCTAAAATAAGGCCATTCAGCTTCTGAAAATGCTATTAAACTTTGGCTTCAGAGAGCATTTAAAGTAAACCTCATCTGTCTGCTGCAAGGTTTTGCTTTTAGTACTTTGAAATATGGAAAGGTAAAAGGCATTGGTTTTGTAAAACTTTGGCTCAAGCTTTTGATATAAGCAGATATTCATGACTCAAAAGCCAGAAACAACTTTTCCTCACAAGAAGAAACTAAGTAGCTCCACACCTCCATCCAAAAGCACTAGCAAGCGTTTCAGTCGCTCAAACTTTTTCCACACATACACCTTCAGAAGGCATGGGATCTCTTATCCCACCTGAATTTGACTGAAGAGAGAAGGTTGTGAGATACAGCACCAAAGAACCTGGCACGCTCAGGTCTTTTGTCAGCCTGTTCTGTGGGAGGATTCTAACCTCACAGCTCAGGTCGAGAATTTTACAAAAATTAAGCCCAAAGGGTAGTCAGCCAAGTCTGTGACAGCTCTCCAGGATCATCTCACACACATATATGTAGGTCTATTCTGTTAGAATGATTAACTGGCAAAGGACAGCAGCAGAGGCTGAAACTGGTCTCATACAGATGCTACAACTGCTCTATACATCAGTGAACTCCTAGCAGAGCAAATAAAGGGTTTGGGGCAGAGGGCTGTTAAGTTTTTTAGGGTTTTTGAGGAGACATGACTTCCCCCTTCTCCCCCAAAGGTATCCTGTTACAGCAGAAGTTATGGTAAGTAACAGCCGCTTCTAATCTGCACTGCCTACTGCTTAAGACAGCGAGGTTGGACATGGCTGCTACACTAAACCATCTGCCTGTATTACAAAAAGGTTTTACTCTATTCATGATCTTAAATCATCTCTTCCTTAGTCACATCTATGCAGATGTTTACTCCCTCAGTGCACTGCTAGAATAATCTACATATACATGAACCTATCAAGATTAAGGAAGTCCTCTACGATGCTTGTTAATACATTAAGATGCTGCTGAAGATCAATCCTAGACAGACTTAAGAGTTCTATACAGCATTCGCCGAGTCTTCCCAATAAAAGGTATAGTACTTGCATGGGAACTAGTTGTGTTTTAAGCGCATGCTAGATACATAAAAGGTATAAAGCAAGTAATTCAGGCTTACTCACCTCTGTGAAAACCAAGACCTTATTCGTTTCATCTGAAAAGCGATATGGAAGAAGAACAGAGCTTGCAAATGGATCCACTTTTTTCTAATAAGTAAAAAAAGAAAAATATTAAAACAAACAAGCAAAAAAAGAAATGACAACTTAAGGGTGAGTTTCCCAGCGGCATGGAGTTGGTCTCCTGAATAGCCATCTTGCCCACAATTTCCTTGCACAGAGGTCATAACAAACAAGCGTGATGCAGAAGTTTTGACTGGTTTTTTTTTTTATGTCCGGTATATACTCAAATCTAAACTTCAGAGCCATGAATTAATTGTGCTGCAGTTAGCCCAAGAGAAAGGGGCTGGGATCAGCAGCTCCAACCTACAGTTGCTCCCAGGCTCGGGGGCACTCAGTAACAAACACTGAGGTGTGGCACTTGCAGCTTATCTAACTGATGTTCCTGATGCAATGGCCAACGCAAGCCATCAGCAAGGAACGTCTCTCTCACCGAGCCTTAAGAATGCCACTGAGCCTCCAAAAGCAGGAGCAAGAGCTCTGCATTTCTTTAAGCATGAACTTATTTTCTAGCTCTGAGGGACCCCCAGTATACCAAAGGGATATTTAGTTACACACACAAAAAAACCAACTGTGACGTGGCCTAACTGCTTTCTACTCATGGGGCGGAAGCAGGAGGAATTTTAGCAAAAGACTGAACTGGGCTAGACACCTTTACGTCAAAAAGGTCATTGGCAAACGAGTGATAGCATACTTGCAAGGAACATCATTTAAAATGAAACAAATGAAAAAAATCAAAACAAGGTGAAGGACAGAGGATGGAAAAAGCTTGCCTTGACACTTCTCCCTGTAACAATCAACGCAGAACAAAACACACAAATGATTTTGATAACACATCTTTAAGTGGAAAGCCCTAACAGATGTTAAGCTTAGTTTGAAAAGTTCAGTCCAGACACGAATTTTTGTCAAATTGCCTGTTCTCAAAATCCTTGATGGGGCTATCTTCACCTCACGAGTATGAGGATGTTTAAGAATTATACATACATAAAGGCACAAAGCCACCCGCAAAAGCAATCATTCTGACAACCACAGAAGCCACAAGAGGCAGCCGAGAAGGCCGACAGCATCACCTGCTCTGTGCTTCAAACACAGTCTTCCCACATTAAAAAGAAAAAAAGCATCAAAATTTGTACACGCTTCCAACCTACCTTCTTCTGTAACGCCATATCTAGGAACACATTAATGTAGACATATTGTTTGGGGTGAGTGAAGTCCAGTTCCTGAAATTTCTTTAGCATACCCACAGCCTGTTCCACATCGTAGGATGGCCGCTCATAATACCACGTCAAGTATACGTCATCCACAGGCTTGCTCATCAGCGGCTGCCTCCTCCTTACTTGTTTCTTTTTTGTTTCTTCCTGCTTGGTCCTGCGTGAATCTTTTTTTGCAGTTCTAAGACAAACAAAAAGTATTATTAGATGATCAGCTGAACCATTTGGCACATGTTCCAAGAGAAAAAAAGCAGGTACTGTAACGTGCCACTTACTAAGGAAAAATTAGTCAGCAAGGAAGGTTCTACACAAAGATGAACAGCATCCCTGAACTCATCCCAGGTACTTGTCTCAGGTGGCCAAGACAGAAATCAAACGCTCTGAAGGCAATTAAGCTCCTCAAACAACACAGATGCATTTGTGCGGCATGGAACCAAGTTAAAAACCTCCTACTGCACCAAAGCAAAAGCAGGTTAAGGTAACACACCAACTTTCACTGGTCTTGCCTTCACATGGGCTGGTACACAGCACTGTGCCCGAGCTGCTTCTAAATCGAGGCAATCTCACACACCTTCCTGGTAAACAGAACGAGCCACATCTGCAGGGGCGGTGGTGTTCTTCTTACAGTGCATCACAGCAGTCCCACCTTTCAAAAAAGGTTTCTCCTCCTTTTCCTGTATCATTTTGCATGCAGTTAACAAACACTCACCCCAATCCTTTGTCTCCTACCTATTTTCAAATGCTCTCAAGTCAAGGAAAAAAAATATTGATGTAATAGCTAGATAGTCTATTCCCCTATTAACTATGGTGAAAGAGCCTGCAACCTTCAGAACACTTGGTGTACAGCACGCTTCGCTGTTGTATACACAAAGGTCATTTTTACTTCTCCCACTTATGCCGTAATGCTAGACTTAAAGAGACAACAAACTAAACAATAAAAAACCACCTGAAACAACAAGAGGAACTGCTTGAAACCAATTCCATAAGCTCAACAGCTTGCAGGTTAACAGTACTCTTTGAGCTGCAATCCAGCCATATCCTCCAAAAGCACACATCGAAAATATTAAGTTTTCTCTCATAGCCGTTACTTTTGTTATTACGAGACTAACAGGAAACACTCCCTACACATCCACCTTAAGTCTTCTCTCTCTACGCTTTTTCTATAGGAGCTGGCGGCTTGCAGGATCATAGAATCATAGAATGTTTAGGGTTGGAAGGGACCACTAGTGGTCATCTAGTCCAACCCCCCTGCAGTGAGCAGGGACACTGCTAACTAGATCAGATTGCTCAGAGCCCCATCCAACCTGGCCTTGAATTTTCCCGGGGATGGGGCTTCCACTACCTCTCTGGGCAACCTGTTCCAGTGTTTTACCACCCTCATTGTAAAAAATTTCTTCCTTACCTCTAGCCTGAACCTACCCTGTTCTAGTTTAAAACCATTTCCCCTTGTCCTAACACAGCTGGCCCTACTAAAAAGACGTTCCCCATCTTTCCTATAGGCCCCCTTTAGGTACTGGAAGGCCGCAATCAGGTCTCCCCGTAGCCTTCTCTTCTCCAGACTGAACAAGCCCAACTCTCTCAGCCTATCCTCATAGGAGAGGTGCTCCAGCCCTCGGATCATTTTTGTAGCCCTCCTCTGGACCCGTTCCAACAGTTCCATGTCCTTCTTGTGCTGAGGGCTCCAGAGCTGGACGCAGTACTCCAGGATACCGCCGAGGCCAGCCCGGCTGTTACAGCAGCACTGCAGGCACCGAAAACACCACACGCTCCCCGCTTCCGCCACCACCAGGACACCCGACGGCCAGGAGAACTGCTTCGGATGGCCGAGGAAGACCAAGCCGCGATGCGGCACCAACACTGCCAGGGAAAAGCAAACATCGCCTCAGACAGGCGCCCCGGCCTCCCTCACCACCCCGGGGCCCGCCCGCCAGGCACCCCGCCACTCCCCACTGCCCACTCAGGGTCGTCCCGCGGCCAAGGGAAGAGTCACCAGCTGGAGTTAAAGAACCGGTAACCAATTCCCACGCTTTTCCGACGGTAAAAAACAACAGAGGGGAAAAACCCTTCACCTCTCCACAGGCAACGTCCAACGGGCGCCGCCATCTTGCAGAGCCGCCGCGGTGCAGCGCGGAAAGCAGTCCCCGCGGCGGAGAAGAAAGGTTCCGGCGGCGGGTGC